ATCTATCTATCTATCTATCTATCTATCTATCTATCTATCTATCTATCTATCTATCTATCTATCTATCTATCTATCTATCTATATGAAGCGTAAGGTTGAGTGGGTGAGGCTAAATCACATTAGGCCTGCACATTGATCGGTTAACAACTGATGAGGTAAAGTGTCACTATTGGATGAGATTTTTAACTGCAAATTTTGCCCGAGCAGCGCCGTTAGGCTACTCTTTTCAAGAGGATGTAGAAGCAGTTTTAAACCGAGACAGCAGGTAATTTCTTTTTCCTTTCAGTCTAAAAAAGGTACCAGGAAATTTTGTTGGAAATATATTCAGCCAATGCATTGTTTACCTGTTTATTCACCGAGTGCCGATTGTTCTGTAAAAACTATGGGTCTAACACAATACGAGCGGTGCACCTGTGGCGCGAACAGGGTCAGTTACTTGAAATGGTGAAAATACAGTCTGACTGACTTTCTACCCCACCAGGACATCACACAAGCGATAAACACCCAATGACACAAGCGCCACCATGAGGGTGAGGATCACCGTGGAGAGGTCCCAGAAACCGCTTTCAGCCTTTATTCCATATTTATGGCCAGGCTATATTGCGGCCCCTTGCAAAAGCCAGAGTAGGGCTTCAAATAACGAAAAATGTTATTCTAAAAAGGGCAGGTAGCTATAGAGTATGGTGGAAAAAAAAAGAGTGCAGCGAAGGTAATACTACGAAATTCATCCAATGAAGGGTGACAAAGAAGCGCAACGAAAAAGGCGCAGTAGCCAGAGATAGAGAGAGAGAGAGAGAGAGAGAGAGAGAGAGAGAGAGAGAGAGAGAGAGAGAGAGAGAGAGAGAGAGAGAGGGGGGGGGGAAACGTATACACATAAGAAACATTGACTCGATTTAAACCACAACAACAGCAGCGACAAAGTACTCTAGCCACAAATCTCCACAGGGAGGTCACGTGAATAACGATTTTTCTTGTGTGTACACGTTATTCCCCCCCCCCTCCCATACTCAATCCCCCCACCCATGTCTCCCTTAATCTTTTTAGTCACAGATCAGCGACAGGCGAGACGGATGTACTATCAGTCAGTTACTGGTACCATTCGAACTGGAACTCTTTGTTAGCTGCTGAAAATGGGGACAGAGCCACTATGGGAGTGTCCCGGGGGCTATGATTTCGATTCCTAATTCAACTTTTAACGATAAGTGTATAAATTGTCAATGACGTGTACTTAAAGAATAACCCTGGGGATTGCAGAACATCAATGACTGGACGCTCGTTCGTCGGTCTGATGAAATAAACAAGAAATGGTGCTGCCACCTATGGAGAATGAATGGGGCGATGCCGGCAGTGAGAGCGAACAACATGAAAACGGAAACACAAAAATGCGGAGGCAGATTTGGAAGTACGTGGATTGACAGAGTAACTGACATTCTAAGACTTTAGAACATCGCATCATACCAAACGTCCGCGCCGTGGCTCGGGTAACTTTCATCTAAACTGTGACCTCCTACAGCACAAATCCAATACTGAGAATGAAAGAAAGAAAAGAAGAAGATAATGCTCGTTGAGTGTTAACCGTCGCTAAACAGGCAGACTGATGGGAATAGGGGTAAATTGTAACACAAATGTTACTGACAACTGTATTTCTTTTCTTTCTTTCCAGTTGACAGCAGACGAGATGCGCGCCATCGTACACGGCATGGCTCGGTTTAAACTGGTGATGACTATCACCGAACTGCTCATGTACACAAATCATTCCATCAACTTCTTCCTCTACTGTGCCACTGGCAACAAGTTTCGGCAGCAAATTTTCGATCTTCTACGGTGCCTTCGGAGACCACGCCAGCCTCACACACACGTCGAAAATACCGGCTTTACAAACTCGGTCAGCAGGTCCAACCACTGTCTGATGGTTGTCAAGACAAACAGTATGGCTATGACCAGACGTACACCTGAAAAGAAAAGTAGTTCTATGAGTACGGACGATGAACCTGATAAAGATGAAGACAATAAATTTGTCTTTGAGGAAAACGTTCGAGCTTGTACTAATGGAAATGTGGAAAATAGATTTCATAGAAGTTCAGACAGTGTGGATATGACCAAGAGTAAGGATAGTCTTCAAGATAGTTCTGCTTATTCATATCAGAATAGTGGTAAAATAAGCACATTTGAAAATGACAAACGGAATTCTGTAAAGGATCATCATAATCGAAAGTCTTTTGAGAACAAAGGTTCTCCTTTTTTGTGTAAAAGGTTAGGAAACTCCTCGCATGACAAAAGTGGTGATGTGATCTCAGATAGCTCTGTAGATCGGCATTGCAAACCAGTAGCGAACAGTTCTGCTCCTTGGAAAGTATACAACAGCAAAAAGAAGCAGAAACAGTCGGTTGCCTCCAAGCGAGGTAGCTTTGGTACCGATTGTGACCTCAGCAGTAATGACAGCGAGTACATACTTCTGCAGCCTACTATTCGCTGGTGTGACTCGGCAACCCAGTCCTGAAGTCTGGCGAAACTAGGACACGAATAATTTGATACACCTATGCCTTCGTACAGCTACAGTTGTGCAACTATAGATTCAACCATCAGTATCAAGAATCATTCATTAAAGCACGCTTATTCAAGCTGATCATGTCTGGCAAAAAATAAGCCAACGACAGAAGACAAATGTAATGGTATTGTTAAAGAGTAACAGGAGAGAAACTACAGTTTTGAGTGGTTTTGGTCGTAACGCCAGCAGAGCTATAGCCAGACCGTTTTTGTTTAAAGACATCCTAGGCGGTAAAAGAAGAAAACTTGAAAGCCTAGAAGATGTAAAGCAGTCATGAAACACAAATACATTTCATAAACACTTTAAAAAAAATGTGTAATCAGAGAAAATCTACAATAGTATCGAGTGTCTATGACGGTGACAACAAGAAGGGTGACATCCAACATTGTTTACGCTACCACATCCAAGGAATTCGGAAGAGAAGAACAAGAGGAAATTGTCGCAAATAATACAACTAGTGGCTGTATACACATGGGCGTCAATTCACGGCAACAATCTACGATTTTAGTTGGCTAGGATCGTACTAAGTTATAAACTTCAGATAAAGACAAACATGCGTGAAAAGGGATCTTTACTTTCCTTGCTTATTTGTGTAAACAGTGGGTAAAGCAAAGGTATATATTTCGTTCTTCGCCTTTACCAATTCTAGGCTACGATATACATGATCGGATGGCTAGCTTCCTTTTTCGCTGTCTTTCCTTTATGGAGAGTTGCCTGTGATTCTGACAATTAATTTCAGTTACAAGACAAGAAAGCAGACATAATCTGTGGCTTTCCACATTACCAAAAACCATGTGGAATTTTTGGAAACAAGTACCTAATGCAACACAACACCAATGAAAATATTACATACTAATTCTTCCCAGTACCAAAAAGTACAAAAGAATAGTGAATGTATGTTAACATACTAGTGCATCCAAGTACGTAATGCTACACACTATCAATGAACATATGTTAACACACAAATACATGCAAGAAAGTACCTAATACGTCACAAAATCAATGAACTTATAACATATTAGTTCATTTGAGTACGTAATTTTATACAAGATTAGTGAACCGATTTTAATTCAGAAATACGTAGAATTACGTAACGCTACACAAAACCAAGGGAGCCCCGTGGTGTAGCGGCTAGACGCTAGCCTGCAGATTCGCAGGTCGTGGGTTCAAATCTGCATGGAGCCTGATACTTTTTCCTGAACATGACCTTGACTCCCAGGTTAAATAGGTACCATGTAAAGTACTGGGAAGTGCAGGAGGCCGGTGTGATGTTTACCACATAAACCATCTTGGTGATAGAGATGGTTTATTTAAAAAAACCTACAGCCTCATATGCTTGATGCCCAACTGGCGTGTAAAGGGATCTTGAACAGAAAACAAATGAACATATGTTCATACATGTGTATACAGGTACACACAAGTACGTGATTATTCACAAAGTCGATGAACATGGGTTTACATGCTAGTACATACAAGAAGATAATACTGTACAAAACCACTGACCAGTAAGATTGTTTATGCTGAATGTGTTATGAAGGCTAGATGTTTGGTGATGGTCATTGATCAAAGTGTGATAAGATGTTTACTGTAGAATGTGTTAAAGGCCCCGCAGATCACGCAAGAAGTTCTAGTTGCATTCAAAACAAAAGAATTATTAAACAGAAAGAAATGGTTTGTTTTATTAGGATACCTGCAATCTTTGAAAGCCATTTATGTTTCTAGTTCTCTACGTGGAAAGCCCGTTTGAAGGTTCTCCACGAAAGCAACGTCTGTTTACCAGAGCTAATTATGAATTATACTCAGATGTATCGGCGAATGGCGAGAGTGAGAACTGGTTTCTGGCTTGTATGTAGTCTCCGATAAGTAAAGTAAAAAAAAAAGTAAAGATCCCTTTTCACACCTTAGGCGCATCGGATATATGGGAAGAGCGTCCCACATTTTTACAGACCATTCGGTACTGGATGGGTAATGTGGTCAGCATTACGCCGGCCGTCTTTACTTCCCCAGGACAGCGTATCGTATCGTATCGTATAAAATCAAACAAAAATTCCAAGCTTAGTCCTTTTTTAGCCGCCTGATGGCCTGCTTTTTCAAGGATCCCAGGACAGCTATCCTGGTACCCATTTTATCCTAGGTCGACCTGCGACGCCCCATACCATGATAAAAAATCCACGCAGCCAGCAGTGGGTTTCGATCGCGATACGATGGATCATGAGTCGGACTCGCAACGCCTAAGCAACAGACGCCGCGTAGTCTCCGATGGTTTATTGTTTTTGGTGACGACCACTTTCAAGATGAAGTGAACTGTTTGTCCTAGTATAAATCATCGTTTAGATGGGATACACGTACTACTGCTCAGACATCTAGTTTCTTTACGACACATGTCATCATCTCTCAAACTGAGAAACGCCCATGACAAAAAGGGGCAACCAACACGGAACAGTATTTAACCGTATGCTACCATGCTTATACTTTGGAAATACATAAATGAAGAAATGCAGTTAAATTAATAATTGTTTAATAAAATATTGAACACAAGAAAGCAAATTCAATTGCGTGTTTAACCATGGTAGTCGCAGACCAACAACTATTTCTATTCCTACGCAATGTACCCAAGTGTATAAGAGCTACAGCCTCTGCAAACTAAAACTATTTTTTCTTTCCCTGTATAAGACACGAGGAATTACAATATATGTTTTTGTTTGAGGATCGAAAAGGCACATGTCAGCCACATTAACTCTTTGAGTCCCAAGGAACGCATCATACATTCATAGTTTCCTACATAGAGGCCCAATGAACGCATGATGCGCCGATTTAACGTCTCTTTTGACTACCCCTTGGGCCTCTGGTGATAAATTTCCTGGGACTCAGAGAGTTGAGAAACATATCACTTCTATTAACACTATCATCATCATGTTACAGGTCGTTAACAGATCGCCCCTCTCCCCATAACCCGCCTGAAATTCGATCCCAGCTGCAGGCCTTGCCCCTTGCGTCGGTTTTTGACAGTGGTATCGATAAGGCGACCGTCCAGAGCAATGGCAAACTACTGGACGTAAATATGCCTAGAAAAACCATAACTGTCAATAAATGATGTGGTTGGTTGTGCAACGTCCTGTGAAGGATACGCAACTTAATATTGTGTAAAGGTGTTCAAGAATTTTATCTGTATAGATAACATTAAATTAAAAGTGGGTCACATAAAAATAACTCGTAGCAGGACATATTAAATAGAACAAATATGCATAGTCCTAGAATTAATAGTAGGATAATGATTGCATGTATGTAACATATAGCCATGTATAACCTCTCTGTATGAATTCTGGCTTTATATGGACTTCCAGTGTTATCATATATACATTTCTATAGTACTAAAAATGTTATTTCAAAGATAAAATTATAGCAGTTGATCTTATAAACAAATGGGTACTGTGAGACAGCACTTTGGAATTTGCGTTCATTTACTTACTGCATTGTTCGGTTTCTTTTAGCGTTCACTGGCTGTAAACTTTGATGGTAAGTTCTGGTTGTTCGTCCTCTTCAGGACTCTGGTCTTGTTTAAGAATTTTAATTTTTTTACGCACATCTGTTTGAAAGATCTGGCGTTATTGTTGGTTTTGACTTCAAAGAAAACCACCCACAACTGGACACAATTTACAGCAGGCTTGTTATGGGCCGTGGGTTTATTCAGGTTTCCCCCAAAATGGGGTACCGGAACACACAAAGGGACCTTGTTTGGTTTACGAGTACAATTAAAATTGTGACGTCATCCCTAGGCAATACATTTGAATTTTTGAAGTTGTGCACTTTCCAGTGGTCTCGGCTGGCATTCAGTCACTGTGCAGAGAGAGATCAAATCACGCAGCCACTCGATTGAGAGAGACTGGCCAGACAAGATTAAATCGCTTAGATTAAAACAAGCAGCCACTCGACACAGGATGGTTGGAAAAAAAAAGGTAAAACAATCAGCGACTTAACGGAGAAAGACGTGGCCAGAAAAGATAAAATCACGCTGCCACTCGACAAAGAGAGACTTGGCCATAAAGATAAAATCACGCAGCCACTCGACAGAGAGAAACCTGGCCAGAAAGATAAAATCACAAAGCCAGTTGACAGAAAGAAACCTGGTTAGAAAAGATAAAGTCATGCAGCCACTCGACGGAGAGAGACCTGGCCGGAAAGAAACAAAAAATCACTCTACCGCTCGACGGAGAGGAGACCTGGCCTGCAAAGATAAAAATATGCAGCCGAACGACGGAGAGAGATTTGATCAGACATGATACAATCTAGTACGGTGAAGTGAATCGTCTTACTTTTAATTGCTTTTTATATCCCACTTATTCAATGACACGTTTTTCGATAAAGGTATCCGCAGCTCATCGAGCAGTTTAATGCTTCTCTATCTTCGGAGAAGTACACGCTGCCATTCTAACGTTACTTTGTTTAATTGTGTCATACCTGCTAATATATTTTTTCTTTCATTTGTAAATAAACCAGGATGGAGAATTTCATTTGATCACATCTCACAGTTTTACTGCTACTGTTTTCACTGCTAAAAGTTTTACTGTTGATAAATACACTATTGATTATTACATTGTTCATACAAGGCTGAGACAAAACGTGTCCGTTGTCCGGCATCAGTAAAACGTCTTATGGGCTTTTTACGGTGGAAATCACTGTTGTGGAAGTGGAAGCATGTCACTTCAGGACCAGTACTGAGATAATATTAGGGGAACAGTTTATCAATAAACTGCCTGTGATAGAGTGAGGTGCTTACCTAAGACCTGAAGATAGATTGCAGATTAAACGCAGATTACTTCGAACAAAGGGTATTGATATCTCCCTTGAAATTCACGTTATTACTTGTCTACCTACCGACGTTGTTTACAACTAGTAGAAAGTAAAGGATCCTTTTCCAAACTTTTATGGGTATTGGACATATAGGGCTAGAC